GTCACAAAAGGGGATCACATGACCACAGGACACTGCTCCCATCATTAATAGGAACCAGTTGCCAAGCATCCGAATGGGAATCACGTGACCATGGGGATGCTGGAAAGGTCATAAGGGTAAAAAAAAGGGTCATCAGTCACTTTGTAAAGACAGCTGACATGCTGCCAAGCCAAACACCGGTCCCTGGCAAATTCATCTCAACAGAAAATTACTTTACCCCCACCCCAACAAATTTACTTCTGAAACAGGAGAATGGTAGATTTGCTGGTATGGGATCGAAAAAGGAGAAGGATGAACCTTCTATGCAAATGTTGTCCTCTCTGTAGCATGTTTACTTGTCTTATGAACAAGGATGACTCCTGTGGCTGTCATTTGGAGAGGATGCCCACAGCAGATCCCCTCCCCCAAATTCAAATGGGCCCCAAGCCTAAAAAGGTGGCCTCCACGGGGGTCTCCCTTTCTTCTTCCTTCCTTCTGATGTGCGACTCTAATGCGGAGCTTTGCTTTTTGTGTCTTTCACAGTGCAAAAAGCTAATGAGGCCTGTAAAAAATTCCTTGAGGCAGCTGGATAAGCCAGAAAGTGGACTTTCAGACCATGACCTGCTGGAGCAAACTCGCAATTCTCTTCTCAACATAGGAGACCACATAGCGGATTGTTTGAAAATCCACAGTGAACCAGATGTTCTTGACATATGGAGAAGGTGATTTGCCTGCCCACCAAATCTTCAGTCTCTCTCTCTGTCTCTCACTCTCTTGTCCTGATGATGCAATCAGACTTGAGGGTCAGGAGTGTTTTTGAGTTTGGAGGAATAGGGGAAGAAGAGGCAGAATCTGGGGATGGAGTTAAAAGAGGAACCAGACTAGAATCTCTACATAGCCACAAGTAAACTAAATCCAATTCCCCTTGAATTCCAGTTCCTAAAGAGAGAAAATCAAGATATCTCTTCACCTTCTTTCAGGAATCTATGGGTATTCGTCTCGAAGTTTATCGAATTTAACACCCAGAAATTACACAAGTTATACAAGATGGCTAGCCAAAAGCGAGCCCGGGAACAGGAGGTAAGAACAGAGAGTGGTGTGTGTGTGTGTGTGTGTGTGTGTGTGTGTGTTTGTGTTGTGCAGTGGAATGGAAGGGATACGAATATGAATAAAGAGAAGGAAGGAAAGGGAACATCCTGTAGAAAAGAAAATCTCAGGAACTGGAGGAATTATTGTTAAGACTTTTAGGTGGGACTGTGCTCTTTCCTTTTCCTTTCTTTCTTTTTTCTTTTTGCTCCTGGCTCTGTCATTGCTGTCCTAAAAGCCAGATGTTGGGTTGTAGAAGAGAGGAGGAGAAATCCTATCTTTAGGATTGGTAGCCTTTCAATGCTCAGGGGACATTGAGTCTTCTGGCACACTCCTTGGTGGGCCTGTAATTGTGTGTGAGTCTCCAGATCCTTTTGCCAGACTTGGCCCTTTATTAATCAGTCAGAGTAGAACTGGAAGGGACCTTGGAGGTCTTCTAGCCCAATCCCCTGCTCAAGCAGGAGACCCTATACCATGTGAGATGAGTGGCTCTCCAGTCTCCATTGATGGAGTTTCATTGCTTTTTCTTCAAGCTGCCTGACAAATGCAACTGTTGGGGTCCCTGGGGTGCCAAAAGGGGCTGGCCTAGCAAACCTTGATGATGAAGACAAGTCTGGTCACAAATGAAGAGGTTGAGGGTGGAAAGCCTTAAAGCTTTTACTTTTCTTTCTGTTTGTTTGTTTAACCCTTTCCTCTAGAAGAGGTTCTCCAATGTTCTCCAGCAACCTCCCTCCTCCCCAGTTCCTGCTTAATAAGACCCAAATCATGGTTACTGTTGGCTTTTTGAGTTTTCCCATGATGTTGTCTTTCTGCTTGGCAGGAACAGAAGAAGAAGGAAGAGACAACGAGTGGCAAGTGGCTTCGTCCAGAAACTCCTGGGCCCAGTCGAGATATTCCACTGCTTCCTTTCCCCCAAAGCCCGCATTCACAAAATCTGCAGCAACCATCTCCCCAGCCTTCACAGATTCATGGACATGAATTCATGAAATACCACCAGCCAAATAGAAGGGACTTTGGCCATACAGGTGAGAGATTGGAGCAGCTCTTCCCTTCTTCTGATGTCCCATCTAGCTCCCTGAGATGGGGGAAGGTGGCAATGCACGACCATCCTTGGTCCCCTTATTGGGACCACATGGGGTACAAGGTTCAAGAGCCTCCCAATTTATCTCTGTATCGATGGTGGGATTCAACCAGTTCGCACGTATTTGGGAGAACCAGTTGTTAACTTTCTAAGCAGTTCGGAGAACCGGTTGTTGGAAGAAATCTCCTTTTGGTTTTCCCCCCACTTTACAGGGCTAATCCTGTAAGGAAGGGAGGAAGGAAACATTCTGGTGTTGTTTCTAGATTAATCTTAATTGCCCTGCTTACAGAAACTGCCTCTCCGGTTAACCCTTATTGCATCATAACAGCTAAAGCAAAGCACCCATCGACCTGAGTGATGTTGAGTTGGCCACGCCCACCCAGTCACATGACCATCAAGCCCCACTTACCCAGCTGGTCATTAGGAAGAGAACCGGATGTTAAATTATTTGAATTCACCACTGTTTACAGCCGTCTCTAACAGCTTACAGAGTCAGCCTATTGCCCCCAACATGCCTACCTAGCTGTTCATTAGGGCAGAGAACCAGTTGTTAAATTATTTGTATCCCACCACTGCTCTGTTTGGACACTGCTATGGATACTTTGTGTTACTGTTCCTCCTTTTTCTTATTTTCTTAAAAAAAGAGATAATAAAAATCAAATGAATAGTAGACAAAGGCAGAAGTTCACATAACAAAGTCCATTTGAATAAGATCCTTGGGCTTCTTTGTGAAAGAGTGTTAGCTTCACCCCCTTCCTTCTCATGCAGGGCGAAGGGAATGGCAAAGGGATCCCCAGTTTAACTACAGTTGGAATGTGTATACCAATTGGGGCCGAAACCGGTGCCAGCCGTACGAGCCCCGCTGGCACCGGGAACACCATTATGCAGATTGCCAGGCGCGCAGAGAACAGTATCAGAGCTCAGGAAACTACCAGCCCAGCAACGTCTCCCGTAAACGCCCCTATGATCCATACAACAGTGAACGCAATTACCGCGGACAACCGGACTACAGGTGAGGTGCTAAGCAGGCCATTCGGCTGGTCTGTGGGTCTTCTGCAGGAGTCAACATGCCAAAGGTAGGGAATGGTGTTTGTCAGCCAGATCATGGAACGGAGATAGCAAGGAATCCTAGATCTGTAGGGTTGGTAGGGTCTAATAATGGACCCTTAAAAGCCTGACCTCCCTGCCCTCCTACACCCCAAATGCCCAGATGGGGTTATTTTGAGTCTCTTTGAGTATTACGAATGGTTGAGGGAGGTAGGGACACCTGGCCTATGGGTGAGAAGTAGGAGCTCCTTAAAAAGAGATCCAACCTAGAAATAAGGAGAGTTTCCTGACAGCAAAAGCAATTAGGCGGCCAAATAGCTTGCCTGCTGGGCTTGTGGGTGCTCAATCGGTAGAGGCTTTCAAAAATAGGCTGGACAACCCTTTGGTTTGGATGGCATGAGGCTTCTGCCTTGAGCAGGGGGTTGGACTAGAAGACCTCCAAGGTCCCTTCCAACCCTATGATTCTCTTACAACCTCTCTTCCTACTGGAAAGAGTTGCTGTTCATTTTTTCTTAACAATCTTGCGTTCCTTCATCGCAGGCATCTCTGCCCCTTTTTGTAAGCATATGTTGTATCATGGCCCACAATACAAAGACTGTAGGCTTGGGCTCCAGCTCTGCTCTTGTCCCTCTTCTTTCCTTCCTCTAGTGTCCAGATACGGCTGAACTGGGCTGACGTTCCTGTTCTCTTCCATGCCTTTGGCACTAGAGGGAGTTAAGCACCCCAAGATCTAGATACGGTCATTTTTTCCTCTTCTGTTGAGTTGAATGTTTTGACAACTTCTTCTTTCCCCTCCAGGTACTGCTATGAAGCCAAGAGACAACGGTTAGATGAATTCAGGCCCCAGAATTACCCAGAAGATTATCAGAGGATGGCTGACTATAGACCGCCCTTGAGTTATCATGGGCAAGGACCATCTGACCATTACAGACCTTTCCACCCAGACAAATCTGCTGATTACAAGCAACTCCTTCTCCCTCCTCACTCCCATCTCTCTGACCCTCGCACTCCACCTTCTCAGAAATCTCCGCTTGGTATCAGGTCTTCCATTCAGTATCGCTCACTTCTGGATAGGCCCTTAGAGCAGAGGAACAATCCAGAATATAAATGGAGTGGCCGGAAAACCTAGAGGTTATATTTGTGATAAAGGCATTGGCCACTGTTGAAATGATTTCCAATGTAAATATGTTCTTTATAAAATATGTATTATTATTTTCCTATGGTTAAACTGCAGTATTTTGGATTGTTGTACATTGAAAGTTCAGTTTTTCAAAAATTGGAATTTCTGTCTCTCTATCTCTCCTCCCCCAAATAGTTGTCCCTGAGGTTATTTATAACTTAACGGTTTTCTTGTTTTGAAAATATAGAAGACTTTTATTACTTCAGCTTAAAAGCCTGATTCTAGATAGTGAAAACAAAATCTTCCTCAGTCATTCGTTCTTCTTTTTCACCTCCTTTTTTCATATTGTTTGACATTTTCTGGATTTATTTTTTCTTTTTGATCTCTTCTCTGAAAAGTATCCCAGTAGTTTGAAAAAGACCTCAATGCAGAAATTTGAAATGAGGCCAAATGGTACGTATGACCTAAGATATTCCTCCCCATCACAAATCTATTTGAACTGAAAGGTGATGACATTTTTAATTTTTTTAATTGATCTTTGTTTTTCTGAATTTGGTAATTATTTTGGCAGCAAGGTGAGCTGGGTTTTACAGTGAACTAGCCAATTCAACAAACACAACAAAGATGATCTGGTTTTCCCCTTTTTTTTCATCCTAAAGATTGCATCAACAGAAATTCAGGACTGTGTTATTGGGAAGAAAAAGAAATTTATTTGCTTTTTTTAAAATCAATAAATAATTTACAATATGTACATCACAACACTCCATACAATTTCCACACACATGCAATAAGCTTGAAAGGGAGGCAGTGTGTTTGTTATACGCTTTCTCTGTCTTTATTCAGATTTTCATTCAGAGCCTCTTGGGTCTTCATCGGCTGAATTCACTCAGAAGCCAAAATTTGACTGAAGATAATAAAAAATAAAGTGCTTTGTTAATAATTAGAGGTTTAAGAAACGATATCTGGGAAACGGTTTTAGAGCTCATCATAATCAGAGAAATAAGTTGAAGAGAATGAAAGATGACAGTTAGGTAAGAAAAACCTCCCTATTTGTTACATTTTACTGTTTTCAAGAATTTTGATTTATGAAACGCTAAAATGAAATGCCATTTTGATAGTGGCCAGTTAATTTGGATTAAAATCCCCCTCCTCTTATAGTGACATCATTGAATCGGGTTTATAGGAGTTGTAGTTAGCATGGGTTATGAGCATTTTTGAGGAAAATTTCACATGAAGGATGAGTTCTCATCTTCATCGCAAACAGGGTGATAATTCAGGTTTCCATTGCTGAATTGTATAAATTCAGCCAAAGATTTCCATATATGGTTTATCCAGTTCCTTAAATGTTATTCAGGCAAAAACATTTAAAAAATCACACTGCATTTCTTCTGTCACACTTGGACGAAGCTGCAAGAGATAATTGGTGGAAATTTGGAAAAAATGTCTTGAAAAAGCTAGGTAATGATTGTGTTCCAAAGTGAATGGCAATGGGTGCCATAGGTTTATGCAAGCATGCATGAATTATGAAGGCAAAACAATCTTCACTCTTCACAGTCATTTATTCCTGGGATCCACCTACCATCTAGGACTTTTACTCCAATCCAATTTGCCTGAAATGCTATCTAAATAGGGTCAGTGGTGATAAAACCTGGCAACCAAGCACTGTGGACATTCTGACCTATACTTTTTGTGAAATCATAGTACTGTTTGCTAATAGTACTTTTGAGCTAAATGTGGACAGAGAGAGATGTCCATCTTGACTCCCTAGATGTCTGAAAACGTGGGAATAGAGTCTCCCCTAGGACCCTCTCCAAGTGACCCCAATTATTCTCAAACTACACAAGGCAATAGAGAAAACAATCATGTCCACTGATGAACAAATCATGAAGAGAAGTAATAAAAGTACTCTTTTAAATATTTTAGGAAAGAAGCAGGGGAATCTCATCTCTTTGCTCACTTGGCAAAATGAACATGTGTAACATTTAGTATGTGTTCAACTTACTACACACTCAAACGATAAAATATCAGCTAGCAGATGATCAGATGGATGTTCATGCTTGAAACATACAAAAACAAGGCTTTGTGTATATCTGGATGTCCTTCTGGTGTTGTGATGGTCAGATAGGGCTCACAATTTAGGAGCAGACAACTCACTTTCAAAGGTTTCCCTAAAACTTGCATGTTGTCAATCTACACAGCAAACACACCCACACAATATGTCCCCTTCCCAAGAACGGGGTTACACCCATTATGGTGTATTCAAAATAGAAAGGGATCAGGATAAGTTTAAGGATGGGAGAGTTCTCATCTGGCACCTGGACCTAAACCCAACATAATGTTTCAACAATTCCTTAGCTCAGGTGTTGTACAAAGAAAAACATGGAGCTAAAGAAGGTGCATCTTGTAAAACGGTACTTCCAGAATACTGAGGCAGGCCTTCTATCTCTGCCTTTCTTCCTCGAATAAAACAATGGCATTGTTGATGAGGCCTACCCATCTTCTGGAAATGCAACTTCTCGATAATTGATTTATGATCAATGATCCATCACTTGTTGCTCGTATGTAATATGAGCTTATGTACCGGAGACAAATTCCTTGTGTGTTCAATTACACTTGGCCAATAAAGAATTCTATTCTATAATACAAGACCCAAATGGTACAGTAATGCCACCAACTCAGCAGGCAGCCTTCTCAGAAGGGAGATTGACCGGAACAGCTCATCATGTCGACTGCAGAAGCAGAAAGGAAGAAGTCATTGGGGAAGAAGGTGCAATTACAGTCTCAAAACCGACACCACTGGTAAAGATGTTCCAGCTCATCTATGGATTGGCATGGTTTGTTTTCCAAAATGAAAGACTTGAGGATTATGTCAACCAGAGGATTTGCACCTAGTGGTGGCACGGCTGGAGTAATACTGGCCTAGTTCCCTAGCTTATTTTCCTATGTAGAATAGGAGTGGACAACGAGTTTGAAAACAGGACAAACATTGTGGTTCTCGAACCACACCCAAGAGTTGGAAAGAAAACACAATCTGCTCACATTGCCCATGAAACCAGGTTGACCCTCCCATTCCTCCCCCATTCATTCTTGGCTAAAGTGAAAGGAAGCCATTTTCTATGAAGAAGACCGAAATGGAGTGAGCAAGGAAGGAAATGAGTTTGTGAGGGTGATGTCTGCCCAGAGGAGGCAAATAGACAATCAAAACCTTGCAGATTGGCTCCTAGGCACCATTCCTCTGGAAGTGGAGGGAAATACCATCGATACACCCACCCACCCAGGAGCAGCTGCCAGCAGCTGCCCAAGCCAATCTGGAGAGAAGTGTGCACCAGCAGGCTCCCATGCACAAGGATGCAACCACGTGAATCCATTTTTCATGAGCAGGATGCAAAAACAGACAAATCACCCCCCACCCAAAGGCCGTGGGACTGTGCCCACGTCTGGCCCATTTAGGGATTCTTTGAATGGTCATCTCCAAGCCACTATATGCACAGTCCAGAAGCAACGGTTGCCTCTCCAAACACTATTATACAAATGCCACTGCCAGTGAAAAAGGCATTCAAGAAAAGTGAGAAGGCAAAGGTCTGCATCGTGTGTAGCAACTGGAAGAAGGGGACGGGTGGCTGATGTGGCCCTTGACCAGCCTTCCACATAGAGGAAGCCTTTGTTGAGAGGAAGACGTTGACAGGAAGAGCCAAAGTCATGTTTTCTAGACGTGACCTGGGTCAACACAATCCCTGGTTGCTTCCATTTCACACCTGCCCAAAACTGTAACAGTGGTCCTCAGTTTCCCAGCTCCACCACCAAGTGTGTCTGGGCCAGTCTACAAGAAAAGGGACGGACTTTGATTCAAGCATAGGAATGCCAAGAGGGAAAGAAACAGAGCCATGGAAAGCTCGGAGGTGGCCGTAACGCCTGACTCCAAGTCTCGTGTCCTTTCAAAGAGGTGAAGCTTGTCTTTGTTGGAGTGGAGCATCTTGACGTCTTCAAAAGCATAATAAGCAGCCAGGGTGAAGTTGACATCACCAGTTGTCAAGAGATCAAACACACAGGACTGGAAGTACAAATCCTCAACCGGGAGCTTCTCTTTGCATTTGACTGTGGCTGATTCGTAGGTGAAGACCTCGGGTGAAGAAGGTGGATTCGAGCCTTTCCGGGGAGGGCGGTTTTCAGTAGCCTTAGGGGTGGGAGGAAAGGCATGGAAGTCTAGCTGCTGGTTGAGTGGACAACCCCGGAGGCAAAGATAGAGGCCCTGGTTGTCTCCGTCCTCCACAGCTTTCACGACCTCCTCTGGCATCCGGACGGCAAAAGTGAGGTAGCGACCAACTTGCCTCACTACGATGGTGGTGCCAATGTATTTGGCCTGGATCTCAATGTGTTGGCCAGAGACCTTCTCGGTGATCTTCAGGCTGTTGGCACCATGCTTGTCACCGCCATTCTTTGAGCCATCAGCAAAGGCTGCTGGGAGTTCATCCATCTCTGCTTGGTACACCTTTTGTTCCACACACTCCTGGAAGCTCTTGAAAATGATAGTGAGCTGGTGGGAATGAAAGGCAAAAGGTTACCGACATTGACAAGATGGTCTAGATTGGTTCATAACCCACCCGTGTTTGCTGTACCAGGTCTAAATGATCAATTTCTCTCTTCTGCTAGTTATCCTAACTAAGTTGTCCTTTCTTTCAAAAATAGCAGTAGACTTATATACCGCTTCATAGGGCTTTCAGCCCTGTCTAAGCGGTTTACAGAGAGTCAGCATATT